TAGCATCAGTAATGTTTAGGGCAAAAACATTGATAAACACAAAAATGCTGGTTGGTCATCTAGATATCAAACTCATCAATTAAATGTTTGAATTTTAGATGTTTATAGAGCCAACATCTACAGATTGGTCCTTTAACCTGTATATGCAGAGTTGGGAAACCGTGGGAAAGTGAGTGGATAGTATTTTTATGAGTGTTGATGTTTCTTGCTCACTGGTGGAAAGTTACTGTACTGTACTTGACTTACTTGCACTTTACTTGAGTATTTCCATTTTATGCTACTTTATACTTCTACTCCACAATTCAGATGGGCATATTGTACTTTTTACTTACATTATTTATTTGATAAGATACTTTGCAGATTCAGATTAAAGATACTAAATTATACTCAACTAAAATACTAATCAACAGATAAATCATAATGTATAAGGTTTAGATGAGACTTTATTGATCCATTGGTGAAATTCAAAAACGACCCAGCAGTATCTATTGTGAAAAATTTATACTAGGAATGCATCAATAACTATAATCCAATAATAATATATATTATTCTGAAGTTGGCCATTCTGCACAAGGAACGTTTTAACTTTTTGTACTTTTAAAGTTTATTTTGATGATAATATTTTGTACTTTACTGTTTAACTTTTAAGTAACATTTACTTGTAACAGAAAATTTCTGCATTGTGGTATTGCTACTTTTACGTAATTTTAAAAATCTGAGTACTTAATGAACTACCGTGATAACCCCACTGGGATTATCAACAAACTGCTTAGCTCACAGTTTGTGAAAGTCTGAAGTATGTGCGCTCATTAGGCCTGCATTCACCCGACCCACCACATGTTGTAGGGATCCGAAGCACCGCCTCTGCCAGCAACTGATCCCTCTGAGTGAAGCATGGACCTCCCCCTCAAAGTGGTCCTGCACTAACACTGCTCTCAAAAACCCCCTTGTTAAAATGCCCAACCTTACAGCAAAAATCATGTTCACAGCGTGACGTGGTTTAGTCTCTATAGCTAACTCCCCCTCCATGGCAACTGTACGAGGCTGAATCTTTACATAATTCACCAATTTAAATTATATTAAGGCTTAAAGTCATGCATTATTAAGGGAGTGGCAGCTTTGAGTGACAGGTGGGTGTCTTCCGAGGTATCTGACAGCTCCACCCCTTTTGCCCATTTTTGGATTAGCCGGAGGGACAGATTTAATGCTCTTATAAATTTATGGGTGACGTCACGGACAACGCGTGCATGATACAGACAATAGTGGTGTTGAGTCTCCACCAGAGGGGAAGAACGTGCACGGTGGAGCAGCCTGCAACTGAGAGGAGCTGAAAACATCTTGCCACAAGAGTGTCATTTTACTCGCATTCCCGTCCAATTCAGGCATTGTTGAGAAAGGTTGCACAAGTGAAACTGATATCAAACAAGGCAACAGCTCATCTGTGGGATCCAGACTTCAGACTCCAGGGGGGAAAAGGCGAGAAGGAGGAAAAGTAGAGATTTCAGCTCGTCTGGAGTTTTGCAAAAAACAAAATGTCTAAACCTAATTACTCCGGCACGTTTCATATGGTGGAGCAGCAAAATATGGACGGCTACCTCGCAGCTTTAGGTAAGACTCGTATAGCCTTTGTTCCCGTTTACACAGATGTAACACTTAAACCAAAGAATTTTTGTCGCCAACCGCATGAACTTTCAGACGTTTGTTGCACTTTCTTTACAAAAAAATTATAAACAAGCTTGTATATTTGCATTGCTTTGTTGCTTTGAGGTCCTCTTCAATCATTGCTTCATGATGTGCAGCACATCAGAGGACTGAAATCATTACCTTGTCCTTTACATGCCCCCAGACACACACATGCATCTTTGTTCATCTATCCTCTTGGGGACATCCCATTGACATAATGCACTCTCTAGCCCCTTACCCAAACCTTAACCTTCACAACTATATGCCTAATCTTAATCCTTACCCTAACCCTAATTTTAAGATAATTGTAACCTGAACCAAGACTTAAACTTCAAAAAGCAGTCCCCACCGGGATACAAAAACATGAACACACATGTTCAGAGGGTGTATTCATTCTGTGTGACACAACCCCCTTAAATAAAGTAACAGTAAGACATAGCTCATGTTATATAAATTGTTTTTTTTTACTCATCTTCTCTTAGATGTTAATTTCGCTCTGAGGAAGATTGTATGTCTGTTGAAGCCCACCAAAGAGATCACCCATGATCCGGCCACAGGAGACATGAAGATCCGCACTCTCACCACCTTCAAGAATTTCAACATGGATTTTAAGATCGGAAAAGAATTTACTGAAGACCTGGGGCCAGTGGATGGCCGGACCTGTCAGGTGTGTGTTTTTTGTTCTGAATAAACACTTTGACTAGTTTGGACATGTTTACGGGCGGATGCAGTGAATACACAGTATCATTACTTGTTCTGTAAGTTTGCTTTGTGTATCTAATTTTGAATGTCTGAGGAGAGTTCACCCACCTACTGCTGTGTTTTTGTGTTGCAATCACCTTCTGCTGCTTAAATCTGGGCCTAAGCCTGCAATAAGTGATGTATGTGTGAGAAAAGAAAGCAATGAATAAAAAAAGAACACTATAGTCTTCAGTTTAGAAAAAATCAGGAAACTAGTCCATGAGTTAGAATTAGCAGCATTATTTTTCAGCGTCTGTAACAAACAAAAAGACCAAACGGAAGCAAAAGAAAGGGAAAACCAAAAAAGTTAGAACCCTTTGCAATAAACAAAGACTCTTGTCCCTGTGTGATTGAACGTGTGAGCTACTTTACATATTAATTGCAGACCGTAACACAATATATCTGTGTTTATGCAGACTACAGTGAACTGGGAAGGAGACAAACTGGTTTGTGTACAGCGGGGAGAGAAAGAAGGACGAGGCTGGACACACTGGCTGGAGGGCAACAAGCTGCATTTGGTAAGGATTTATGGATGGAGTGATCAGAAGTGAGGCCAAAGCAAAGGGAGATGGGGGAAACAGAACAAGGAAAATTAAAACGTACAGGGAAGAAGATGCTGAAATTGATATGCTAAAAGAGGGAGACCATGCAAATAAGAACTATGCATTGCCTTATTCTGTTGTACTACACTGTCCTTATTGAAAGGTTTGTGGAGCATTGTGCCTGCCTGAGCCCAACAAAGGAAGGCAAACACAAAAGAGGCAGAAGACTCTTGACTGTATGTCTTAAAGGGAAATCTTGGCATATTGACCGAGAAAGCTGAGTTTGCCAAGTAGCCAGGGGGTACACTCTAGATGCCACTCTTTTTGCTTGTATTGCAAACTAGCTACGTTTCCAACAGCAAATATGGCATCCCAAAATATGAGTGCAGCAGATATAATGGACGGGGATACATTTTAAAATGTTTTGGCTGACTTGGATATTCAACCATATTTATAAGAGCCAGAGAAGAAATACAGCGGAGAGACATTCTACTGCAATGAATGACGCCTGTGTGCTGGATATCTTCTTCAGGATCCCGAAGATAAAAAGAGGGCAAGTGACCACCTAACGCTATTTTTTTGGCCCACAAAATAATAGCTAATGTTATAGGCTAGGGTGGTAACTTACTCCCACAGGCTGACGTAGTGTTGGACTGGATGTTGTAAAATGTAGGGGCAGTCAAGAGAAACTGTGTGAATATTAAGGCTCATTTGAAGACACCTACATAACTAGAGTAGTAGGTTAGATGTCGGTAACTGTTTTTACATGTCGCTTTTAGTGGAACGCCAGTGCTAGCTGAGGTAGCGTTGTTATGTGTGTATGTAAATTTATTTATAGACACACCCGGATAATAATGACATAACTACATGTAAAAACAAAAAAAAAAAAAACAAACAAAAGAAATGGTCAAATTCAGGAATTTGTTTATTCATTTGTCTGGCAACTTTGTGTGTAACTTTGATTAGCACCCAGCAGCTAGCTTGCTCAGAGTGTGTGAGAGTGCTGTAGTTGCCTGTAGTTTGCACGCAATGCATCCTGGTTCTGTAGGCACGGCATGGCTCTGTGAGCAGGAGAACTCTGCTTTCTCGTTCAATATAGCACGCACTGAGGAATTTATGCAAGAATTTTCCCTTTTAATAAAGTGCCGCACTAATTTGGGAACGAGGTAGAGCAATGGTTTTCCTCATTTTGGTTGTAAAAGAGTTTAAGATTATAGCTAATCTGTCAGTGCTGATTAAGATTTAAAACGATCAGTATGTTCCGCTAGACGGCTTTCACAGGATTTCTAATACCTCTGCTGCAGTCAGGACAAAGCAATGTTTTGTTGATGTTGTGTTCAAATTCAGAAGAGAATTGGGAAAGAAATGCCAGCAAGGATCAGGCTCTTAAGATGGTGGATTCTAAAGCAGGAGAAGGGAGCAGCGACAGACTAATGAGTCTAGAGTGAGTGAGTGGGAGTTGGGGGGGGTGCGGATTACGGGGTCAAAGAATGAGTAGGAGGACAGGGGAGAAATTGGATTGTATTTTGGATACAATCCCAGGTTTCTGTATCACTCATTTATCTCTCCTTTGATGTGCCAAACTGTCTTATTGATTCTCCCTATTCATTCCCCCCCCCCCCCCCCCCCCCCATGTTTTTTCTCTCCCCCCTTCTCAATGGTCTCTTTCCTCTCTGCAGGAGCTCAGAGCTGAAGGCGTGGTTGCCAAGCAAGTCTTCCAGAAGGCTGATTGAAGTGAATAACTTCATTTTATTCTTAATAGAATATAGTTACGGACTTGGTACTTTGAATAATGTTCCAATAATGTTTAAAAATTGTAATCAACATTATTTTGAAGTATCATAATAATACTGAATATCTGTGAAAGTACTGTACATGTACTTAATTGTTTGTGTCAGATGGTACTAACTGAATGAAGTAACTGTAGCTGCAGAGCAGAATGACTTAAATGACGTGAATTGTGTAAACATTCCCACATACTCATATTGCACTCATCTATCTTCTAAATGTTATAAACAAATCATCTGTCGGGGGTCATTGCTGCATCTTTAATACACCACATGAGTGTGCTGCTGCATGTTGTAAAGTTTCTATAGTTTTATAAATACAGAAAATTCAGTGGTCAAAATTTACATTAGTATGTACTTAAAAAAAAATGGACAGATTTTTGTTGGCGTTAAACTAGTTTTCATGTACAATTCTCAACCTGCTGGAACAATATAAGTTACAATTAACAACCTTTCAAATATAATTACAAAGATATAGTTTACAGTAAAGGAAGGACCACAGTGTTTCTTATTGTCAACAAATCCCACAAAAGGTCCAGTGGTGTTTTAGTCCTTTAAATTTCTGACAATCTACCATGTCTGTGGCACTCGAACCTCAGGCCCATTCATTCTTACACAGATGTACTTTTTTAAAAACAGGCTGCAAATAAATAAAATTGCTGAACACTGCAGTTTTTAGCAGTTTAATCAAACAGTAGAAAATGGAGCACTATTTTCTAATGCGCGTTGACTCAAAAGAAACTACAGTGTTCATGGAAATGAAGGAACAAGCTACACTGTGCAACAGAGTGACTCGCTGTATTTAAAAAATAATAATAATAATTTTTTGACAATGGAGCTCTATGGCACAGAGGAACACGCTACATCAGGCTTTGACTACACATACATACTTGTTGATAGGATACATCCATTGTTGGTTTTGGCCTTTTCATGGGATTTGTCTAAACATAAGAAAAAAATATCAACAGGCTTAAATAAATCCACAGAGCTGTAAAAAATCAGACAGTGCTGCCTTGACTTGCGAAGCATCTATAAAACTAATTCACATCAAAGGAAATGACTCAAATACTAAGCTACACCAGTGGTTTAAAAAAATGTTTTAGCTGTCAGTTTCATTTTGTATGCAGCTGAAACTCTCACCAGTGTCCTGCAGTGGACAGTAAACCATCAGCCAGCCTCAAGTCTCCTGAACAAGAGAAACCCTACTCTCTTTTTCTCTCTTTGGTATAAATAGATCCAGTTTATAGTTGCAGTATCTCCATGTCGCAGAAGGAGCTCCATCAGTATACTGTTACGGCAATATTTGCTTGATTATGTCCCACACCACTCGTCCTCCTGTGGCTCTGAGTAGGTCCTGAGGAAGTTGCTGGTGCTGTATCCAGCACTTCCATTGATGTGGTTGGATTCAGCGAATGAAACTGAAGCCTTCAGTGGTGTTATAGGAAGGCAGCTGTCCACACTGTCTTGTGTGCAACTGACCACATTATCGTCTGGGGAGGATAACAAAATTAATGTTAAGTGTGACCATCCTTCAGCGTAATATTGGTCTACATCAAACATGTTTTGCGCTTGGTGATTTATGGCCATCTTAATGGGGCTGAAAGCATTTATGAGCATGGGAATTTTATATAGACTAGTACTGGATAAAGGAACACAGATGGATGACAACATTGTGTCTTAGCTTGCAGTTGGGTACTTCAGTGCTCTTAGGTATAGATTCTTTGAAACTCTACATGAGGGATTGACGCCAGTACAAACTTCAAATGATATTCTCCCATTTGGCATTTTAATGATGGTGGAGATTGTTGTCTTTGCACGTCTTACAGGTGTTAAGATCTGGTGACTGCAAGGACCATGTTGGATGATTTGCATAATTTTCATACTTATTGGCCCTTTCATTGATCCCTCAACCTTGTATGGAAGCATCTGCATTTTTTCCTTGTGTCTTATCTATACAACACCTATACAAAATTTTAACAATGACAGCCAAAGACTACAAAGACTGTAAATTGGGAGAAAAGACAGTATTTTTGTGAGACCACATATGGCTGATAAGCAGGACATATGTGTTTTGCTCATGCTCTACATGTGTCACTCCCTAGTCTGAGTCTAGTTGGGGACGTTCCTGTCATCTCACTACTGTCAATATCTCTAATAAAGGCATAAAAAATACTTAAAAACTATAACAACACAATAAAACTTTTGATTGAACAGTGGAAAGCTGGTGTGTGTCTGCATACAGCAGTGTTCAGTTTTTTTTTCACCTGGGTTAAATATTGGTAAATCGCAGCCGTCTACAGTGCAGCTCTCTTGGCAGTAACCGTTCAGCTCTGTGGGCGGTAAGGGCAGCTTCAGCGGACTGACAGGTGCTGCAGGAACCAGGTTAATGAAGGTAACAGGAGGACTCGATCTGGCTGTCAAGATAACCACAAATAGGGTCAAAAACAAGATATTTCAATAAGGACATTATGGACATGATGAGTAGTTTGAATTTAATCAAATGCAACAACTATACTACAGATGGATAACTTTTATCATTTGGAACATACTGTAGTTTTGGTGAGTCAGTATCTGCACTTATAGTGATTGGCCTACAGGTGGCACTTTAATCTCAAACAAACACTTCAGTTCCGGAGCACTGCTAGTCAATCAGATATGACATGATCCTGATAAGTATCTGGACATGCTGAGCAACTTTATTTCGAGGAAACTTCTTCACACTTCTACATGAATAGATCTGCAAATTCAAATTTACAACAGCTCAGTCTGACTCAATATTACAGTGATAGGCTACTCCTTGAATTTATCCTTTCGGTATCAAATACTCATCTCCTGTATAGACTTGAAAGGCGGTTGAAAAAAGTTCATAGTTTCCTTTTTCACAGAAAGAAGTTGTGGTCAGCATAACTGGCTTCTCTCATTCATTGGTTTGCGCAGTATTTACCAAACAGTCAGCAGTGCTGGATTACCAACCAGGAGAAGCTGGCAACTGCTCTTTGACCCTCATGGGCCCCGAATACCCCATTTTTATTGTGTGTCTGTCTGTTTGTGGTAATTTGATTGATTGAAAATTTGTTTGGTAATTTACACCACTAAAGCACAATATCACCTGAAATGAGGTAGCTTATTTCAGGTGATATAAGCCAGACTTATTATTAAAGTACATATGCCCATCATCATTGTCTGACTTGTGTAGTAGCCTTGTAGAGACCTTGTTGGGTCTAACCAAATTACAACAAACAGGGACAGAGCTAAATTTCACCCTGATGCTTAGATTAATCTGGCCGTCATAATTCACTTAAAGATGTTTCAGACATGTTTAAAGACATGAAAATACTCTGCTCTGAATAATATGTAATGTCTTTTATGTTTCTCTACAAAATTGTTCAGTTACCTAGTTACAATCTCTTGCAATTACATCTGTCCTTTCTCCCTCAGTGAAAATCTATGAAAGTACATATGTTTTACTTTAATAGTTTAAATTCTGGGCCATGATTTCTGCTTGATGAAAAGCCCGTTCTGAGTGTATGTGAACTGCAGGTTTCAAGTTTCCTCATCACATTGTGTAAGGTCCAAAGTAGTTGTGATGACACAGAGTCATGCATGTGTGAAAGTCTCCCTGTTTCTCCCTGAGACTTTTGGCAAATGAACGTGAAAACAGCCTTTTAGTGTCAAACTCTGTGTATACATCATTCTGCACATTGGCGGTAAAAATCTTACAGACTGATATCTCAAAACCTCAACAGACAAAACCGAAACTATCTTTATGGTACGATACTACTACGAGAAGGAAAATGTGCATTTTAGCAATTTGGGTGGAATCATCCCTTTGAAGATACAGTATCTACATGCTGGTATATTAAGATCTGAATAATTGTGATATTGTGAATCACTTACCGCAGCGTACTCTCTTACAATGAACTTTTTGTTTATCAATTGCTTCAAACACCAAAAACCAAAGTAACTGAAAATCTACCCAACCACTGATGAAATCTTTAAAAAAACTGACAAGTGGTACTTTTGAATTGAAAATAAGATCTTACTATCAGACTGGCTGAACAACAGACTTGTTGAAGCCCAGCCTTCTCTCATTAGTTGCATTTCATCTGTAAATTCCAAGCAAAATGCTTCACAGGAAATACAGTAAATGTCAATGAATTACAGCACGTCAGCCAAAACAGTCAGTTATGAGATTGTACCACATACGTAGGACTTGCTTCTCAGTATGAGTTAGCTGACTATGAAATATGCGTCACATTATACCAAATAACTATGTCAGGCTGAATATGTACAGGATGTGGTTTCCCCATTGAGTTTGTCATGCTTGCTAAACTTACTGTGTTGCATAGAACCTTATTTAACCTGACTGGGTTACAGGATACTAACTCAAAAATATTCTGCTTTTGTGCAAAACCCCCCAGAAATTACACTTTTTTTTTTTTACTCTTTTCACATAAATGAACTCCAGACTACACTTATTGTAATTAATGAACGGAAATGAGGTATGTAAAAGGAGTCACTGTAAAGGAAACAGTGGGAGGGTATGTTTAAAGAGTTAAGCAGTGACGTACAACTGTAAGACTTCAAAGCCAATTGTGTCACACAGTTGTGGCTAGCAACATGCTTAGTTACTGCCAGTGAGTGGGCATGCCTGTACACCGCTTTGTCGCCTCCTCAGGAAGACCTTCTTTAAAGTATGAGAATAAACGTGTGAGAATAACAATTACAAAACACACCTACACACACTGGCACACTGTACACACCTGCTTTGTCTGACTTGCGTTTTGCTCTCCAGCAGATGAGACCAAACACAATGAGTGCAGTCAACACGAGTCCTGACCACAGGCTTGCGGGCAACATCCAGTGACAATCTGATAAACAAACAGAGGTTTTTAGAGGGACCCAAATACATTTTAATTAGTTTTTTCTTCTGATTATGCTAATAACTTATGGGAAAATAAAGTGGGAGTGAGTGATTACTAAATACAGATCTTCCTCATCAAAAATATAAAAAAAAACGGTAATGACTTGATATAGAATTATTGTGGCTATAAAATGCTTCTGCAATTCCCTCTACAAAGACTAACTATTATGTATTCAATTCGATTGGCATTTAATTGCGTTAGCCTATTGGTAAATAGTGATTTCTAACAGACTATCAGGTTACATACATTTGTACACACACACACACACACACACACACACACACACACACACACACACACACTTTATAACTGTACAAATATGAGTAACATAATTATGTACGCATAATATTTCTATGTTACTATAATGTTTATACAGCAACTTTATATGTCCATATTTCTGCTTATACAACTACATATAGTGTGTAAACTATTAATGCATTTCATACAGCTTAATAATACAAAATAGGGGGGATCAAAATGAAGTGCTTCCGTTGTCTCCTCAGCCCCTGTGGTTGGAATAGCTTTTTCCTTTTTTGTAACGAAACAGTTTTGTTTCCAGTTAAAAATGTGTCACAGGTAAATTTCCCACCTGTTAGATCTGTAGTAGCGGAAATTAGACCTGTATATTATGCTTACTTGATGTGTTTGACTACTTTACTTGACTTGATTAAACTAAACTGTTTCAGACACTGATCTCACAAATATTGAAACTCTGATAACCTGAGTGAAGAGTTCTAAAACACACAAGTAGGAAAAAGTTACAATGTAAAAAGAGGTTTTTCTAAATGCATTTGTTTGTCAGTACAATACTGAAGATCCTGTTTACATTTAAAATGTGGTGAAAATGAATATTGTTTCTGCACTTTTCAGGGGACACAAACAAAACTTAGTTTCTGTCACCCAAATGGGTTCTTTGACCTTTGTGACTTGTACTGTCCTGATTTATTTGTGTTTTTAGTTTTGTAGTATTTTTTGATTTTTAGTATTTGTCAAGACAAAAAGACTATTGTGCCTGTATATGAATGATAAATGCATTTTATAGATGTATATCAGCTCCATACGACGTCGATGTGAGTATATTTGAGCTTCATGCCCCACCAACATCAGCTTCGGAGTAATAGACTTGTTTTGAGTGCCAAAACAAAGATATTTCTTTATAATGTCCACTGAAAAAACCTTTGGCAAGGCCAACGCACACACCTGTCAGTGTTTGGTGTTTTGTCACTCACAGCCTCCACTTAGACTGTACTCTTTTCCTTACACCTATAATAACTGATGTTTTGGACACTCAGGAGCAGCAGAATGAGTTGTGACATATCATCGCCATATAAATTGATATGGTGATACAGTTGCTTAGTTTCACATCCAACAGTTACAGAGCAACATTATCTATCATTTGGCCACCTGATGAATGTAAGTCCAATATAAACTTGTGTTGTAGCTCTGTTTTTGGTCTCTACCAACTCCTGAGGGAAATATCTCGCTCATGGCTGCTAAGTGCTCCACTATGTTCACCAGCTTGTTGAAGCTGGTGCAGCTAGTAACTGTTGGTGGGGTTTTAGAGCTTTTTCTGTGACAAAAAAACAACACTACAAGAGCAGTGAGAGTGAACAGAAACAGTAAAGTTGAGGCTGGACAGTTAAACAATTAGCTGAAACTCACTATAAAGCTCTGTGAACGGGAGCACTTTGTTATTTGATACATTGCTATTATAAAAATATTAATTGTTGGAGCTTGAGTCTTTATTCTCTAAAGGTGAAATTACTCTTTACAGCCAGTCACCACTCTTGTCAGAGACACTATTGCAATGAGTGCCTTCCATTTCTCTCCTTCTCAAGAATTATTTCCCATCTGTACTACTTCTACTTCCTCACTTTATAACATGGTCATATGACATTTAGGAATTGAAGGTCAACCGGACCTCACTGAGTTACTCACAGGATAAGAGCATCCGCTGCATTGCACAAGTAAATGTTATGGCTAAAAGATTTTAAGATTTGAATATAAATACAGAAATGGAGACTTACGAGATTTGAAGTTACCGCAGATAGCATCACTTGTTCGGGTTCCCGGAGTTTTCAACACTCTTCCAATATCCTCACATCTGAAAAAAACACACAAAGACAAACAAATAAATATCCACAAACTGTATAATGTATCTTTTTCATTTAGACATGTTTGTCCCAGTAAACCTACTGAAAGGGATGTATAAAAGGTTTCAGACAATATCAAGAAACAGTTATGACATTCCTTCAGTGTGGATGAAATTTAGTTACAGTAGGTGTGATGTGGGATGTTTCGGGTTTGTAGACTGAGGATTTCAACCGAAAGACTCATTTCAGCTGCTGTGTGTCGATGGAGTATGACTAATGAATCATTTACACACATCTGACCGCATTTCATACATTGACATCCTCCTTTAATAATAACAGTAATAGTGGAGATGCAGTCTGACCTGGTATGTGTTTGACAGGGTGAGTTGAAGTCTGTGACGTTGCTATAGGTCCCTTCTATACACAGAGCACACACTGTATTGTTTGTGCGAGTGGCTGCAAGAAAAAATTAGACATGGAGTCTTTTCAGTTGCCAGTTTTTACTCTATTTTGGCAATATCTGAATGCTTGCTGGAGTACATGATTATTTCTTTTGCATTTTACAATGGACTCCTACCTTTCATCTTGACCCCTTCACCCATAGGACAGTCTTTCACTTGCAGGCAATGGTCACAGTCAACATTACTGCAGTAGAAACCAGTCACACACTCACATACTGTGTCCTCCTTAGTTGTACAGTCCTTTACTGTCCTCTGATTATTAGCTGAAAACATAAAAGAGAGATAAATTCTGTCCTGGAAGAAGGATCCATCTTATGTTCTGATCTGCTGCGTTGTTTTGTGTCTCTGTAGTCGTTTTGTGTTTCTTTGTGGTTGTTTGGCATCTCCATCGACTACAACATTTTGCATTTCTTTGTAGTTGTCCCTGTGATTGTTTTGTCTCTTTTAGACCTTTTATATCTCTATGTGGTAGTTGTGTCTCTTTGTGATTGTTTTGCATTTCTTTCAAATACAAATCTGTGTCTCTTTGGAGTACTGTTTTTGGTAATTTTGTGTTTCCTGACATTTGATTGACTACAGCAAAAAATAGTGACAGGTTCAATTTGAAATGTAATTTCCCCCGCAGCCTTAGAAATGTGAGTAAACAGAACTAAACTTAAATAAATAGTTCAAATTCTTCTCATTAAAAGTGAAAATGTAAAACTAAATTACTTATGTTCACAGGATGGATGTTTAGTTTAATCTAGATAACAGTTGGTTTCACTTTACAGTTACGTTCTCAGTTTTTCATTTGATACAAAGGTTTTACAATAGTCTCTGCTGTGTTGGAGCTACATTGATACCAGAGTTATAGCAGCCCCTAAGTTTATTTACTTAGAAGTTTGTTGGAGTATTTACTTTCAAGGTTGTTAAAATCATCATATTCCACATTGACAGTACCACATTTATATGTAGAGGCTTGTACCAGCACTTCACTGAAACTGAACAATGGTTGCACTGAGTGAAATATTTAAATCAATATTTTATATAAAAATGTGTTTATGGTTGCACAACTCCGTGCACAAAATCAGATGGAAATATTCCAGATATCTTGTACATCATTGTATCCACATTTCTCTACAGCATGACATACATGGCATTTTTCAAAAACTTTGGGATCTCCACTAAAATCTTAAATAAAGATTGAAAAAATTTAAACAAAGTTCAGCTACACAGCATGAGTTGATGACTGACACCCACTGGCAAGTAAGTGAGGTTTAATGGCTTGAAATCAGAAAAGAGGAAGATTTGTGATGGTGTTAACGTCAAGAAACAATTGCAAAACATACATCTATAGTCTGTAAAAAAGGCAGTAGAGAGGAGAAGAGGAAGTAACTGCATTTGTGTTTGCAGTACAGAAAAAGTATCTGCGTTTATGTGCATGAGTATACAGTACTGTTTGTGTTTTGTGTATAACTTACTAGGACTGCAGATCTTGCATTGACGACAGTTAGACAAGTGATTTTTTGTGGCTGTGTAGCCTTTACGTCCACATTCAGCACACTTGGTCTTCGTTGTGCCGCTACATTCAGCTACCATGTATGATCCTGATAATAGTTGAGAAAACAGAGATATACAGAGAATCGGATCAGTCAGGCTGTAATGCAAAGAGAGTGTGTGAGGAATGCTGGAAAGCTGATTATTTCCAATAAAGACGTTTTTTATCCAAAGAGCAATGAAAAGAAATGTTAGTAATTAAATCTTTATGATGTTGACTGACCTGCATGGCATTGATCACAGCATCTCCCATCTTTACTGTTGAACTGCTCTTTTGTGCAATTCATCTTAGCTATTTCTTTCCCATTCGATTACAGTCCTCCACCTGTGTGTAAAATATCTAAGCTCAAGACTAAAACAACCTGTACAACCTCTAAAGTCTTCCTGTACACTCTTCCTCTGGACCTACTGCTAACCTTGGAAATGACAGCTATTTATGACTCGAGGTTCGATCTCTTTACCCTTTCTCTTTTTCTGACGTTCACTCATTCACTGCTCACATTCTTCTGTCTCCACTCTCTTTCTGCTGTCTGATCGTTTGTGACTACAGATTTGTTCCCCCCCTCACTCTGCCTTACCTACTTCTCATGTCTTTTCTAATCCTACACAATGGAAAACCCCAATGACCCTTATCTGCTGTGCTGTTTTCCCCTCCGTCTCTCAGTCTCAGTCTCTGTCTCTGTCTCTCCTCATTTCCTTCCTGTGCTAGCCCTGCGATGTAAGCTGTGTATTTGTTTCCGTGTAGCTACAGGACGAAATTGCTGGTTTTGGCACATAACACAGCAGAATGAAACATTTCCTCTCTCCTCTACACCCTTTCCTTCCACTCCATTGTTTTCCCTGAACTTTTGTCCCAGTGGAGAAGGGATGTTGTTGATTTTGTTGTTTTGTAACACTCGATCAGAAAAGTTTCGGGCTCAGTCTGTCTTCCTGCCACCCCACTTACCCAGAGTCACTCTTTTGTTTCTGCAAACATGCAAAAACAATCTACAAATAGATTTATAAAATGCCTACGAGTGCAAATTATGAGTGAGAGAGAAAGGGGGGCAGCAAGGAAGAGCGAGGGATGGAAAGTAAATTATTTAAAAAAAGGGGAAGGAGAGATGTTGAGGTAGTTTATTTGTGAAGAGATTTGATCGGATCACGATGTTGCGATTAAGGTGGGTCTGGATTTTTTTGCATTTTAGGACTCTAAAACATATATACAGCATAATGATTTGCAGTAGACAGGTAGAGTGCTTGTAAAATGGAAAGAGGTTAATGGGTTTCATCTTTGGCTTGTCTATTTTTCAGTACAGTATAAAAGGGGCTTTCTCTGGATTAAATAAATATGTGAACATTAAATAATACATTTTCTTTCTTAACTTTGTGGTCCTTTCCTTTACATTGTATCACACCCTCCCCTTAATTCTTTCCCTCAGTCTCCTGCTTCTCCTGCTCTCCCACTCGGCCTACCCAATGTTGCTAGGATGGGTGGAGTCTCCAGGGTATCCCAATGGATACTTGCCCCATGCCAGTCTAAACTGGAGCAGGTGTGCCCCCAAAGGTCACACAGTCTCCATCAGGTTCATCCACCTGGACTTGGAGGACAGCGAAGACTGTGAAAACGATGCTGTGAAGGTCAGCGGTCAAGATAAACTTAAAGGTTACTAACTTATGTCGGTACTGTTATTGTACCCTTTACAACTGAATTTTCTGTTTTTTTCCCAGGTCTATTCAAATGGAAACCTAATTTCTGTTCTGTGTGGCAAAAAGGAATTTGAGGAGCTTCAGTCCTCTGTAAATCCCCTCCACTCCTCCCCGGGCGGCTGCCTCTCTCTTTCGTTCCACTCTGACTTCTCAAACACCAAGAGGCACACCGGCTTCAGAGGCTTTTATACCAGTCAAGGTGAGATGTAGAGGAGAAAAAGTCCCACCAAAATCCATTTTATTTGTACCCATTTTATTTTTCCACATTCCCTAGGAGAGCTCAGGGGGTACATGCATGTATTTCGTCATTGTTAATATTTTTGTAATCATATTGTTAGTAAGGTAACATAACAATTAAGATAACAATTCACAATGGTTGCAATTTATAGTTGTACAAGGTGTCTTGGAAACAGTTTGACATCAGCGTCCAGGGTGACCACAGTGAGTTTGTGTCTTGTTTCCAAACTGAGGCACTACGACAATAAGTAGATAAATTAAAGCAAGACATAATTTTAATAAAAATAGGACAAATAAAATAACTGAAGAACATGCTTCTAAAGCAACACGTTCTCACTCCCGACTTATCATTGAGACTTTCAGTTTCATTTCAAAGGTGCTGACGGGGCTGCAGTGACTGAAATCACATCAAAATCCTGTCTAACAAACAACCCCAGTTAAAACAATCTTGGCTATACAGTGGGAAATGAGTTTCACAATAATAATAACAAAATCCTGTATGGTATACAATGACTTTGATGCAGTATGTGAAAGTAGTAGAGGTCCATTAATTAACTTTGTCATTACAATCCCAAGAGGGTAGAATTGATACAGTAAACAATCTCGGCTTTAATGCTTGTCTCCATACTCATTAGTAAAAAGAGATTTGACTCAAGGTGACTGAACAAACAACAGACTCCCCACTGAATACCTTCTGCTACATATGTTAGCTGGTACACAAACAAGGTGAACATATAGAGTACTGTGGATAACTCTCAGATACATTACATGAACAGAAAGTGGCAAAATACAAAGAAAAGCAAAGTTTCTGTTTGTTTAAATTCTGTTAAAATAACCAAGTGTCAGTGCTCACCTATAAGAAAAAAAGTCCTTTAAACTGCCTTGTGTGCCATGCTTATACTTTAATGAATTGTTTGCTCAGACTTTGATGAATGTGATGACCCAGACAACGGATGCACCCAGTTCTGTCACAACTTCATTGGAGGGTACCACTGCTCCTGTCGTCATGGTTACCACCTGGATGCGGACAAACAGACTTGCACTGGTACAACTAATTTCATTATAAGGATCAATAAACAGTGTACAGAATGAGAAGTTAACAGTCAAAAGTAGGCAAGGTACAAAATTGAAACATGAAGTGAAAATGGGAAAATAGAGGAAGCAGAAGCTGGCAAATGAGGGGTGGATGACAAGGGGGCTGATTGTGTAATACTTGATGATTATGTTGACTAAAATGATGATGGTGATGACAATTAACTCTTAACTACAACACAGTGAGTTGTACTGAGGATCTGTCAGGGCTGAAGAGAGGTGACATATCCAGTCCCTCCTGGCCTGCTTCATACGCAGAGAATGCCAACTGTCAGCACATTCTGTCTGTGGAGGCCCACCTGCAGTTGGAGCTGCACTTCTCTGAAGATTTTGATGTGGAACAAAGCCCTGATGGCCAATGCATAGATGCATTGACGGTAAGTCAATATGGAGGTGTGTCTTTCTAAAACATGTAATTTTACAAAGCAGGAAACAAAGAGGAAGTTCAGACAAAAGTGTTGAAACCATGGATTTTTACAACTATTACCCATCCTATTTTGGCCATTTCATAGTCTGTCTGTGTTACACATGTTGAATTTATTTATTTTTTCTTTGCATGCAGTGCCTATGAAATGTCCAACCCCTTTAAAAATGTCATGTTTTACTGTCTTACAAGATTAAATCAAAGTATTTTAATGTGCTCTGTTTGATGCTGATCTATAAAGAAGATTAATTTCAAAAGAGATTGATTTGTGACAGATTTTACAAAGTGATCTAAACTTACTACAAATATAGATAAATACTTGCTAAGAATTTACCTCCTCATCTTTGACAGAAATTATTGCTTTGAGTCTGTATGGATAGTTTTCTTTCGACATCTGGACACTGCAGTTTTTTGCTGTTCTTTGGATCTGTACTCTGACTGACCTTTTAAAGCTAGAAAAATAATTTTCTCCCAAGATTTCTTGCAGAGAGCATCTGAGTTTCCTCCAGGATTTCCCTCCATAGCGGGGATGCTATGTTTATGGTGATGTGCAGTGTAACAAAGTGTTAATCTAATGGCCAGTCTAATGGCCAAAAATTAAAATTTTGGTAACGGCAGACCAGCTGACTTCAGAGTCTCTCATGTGCTTTCTGGCAAACTGAAGCCCGGATTCAGTTTTATTGTAATAGTCTGCAGTCACTCCAGTCTCAACCTCTGATCCTTGGAACTCCTTCAGAGTTCTGCTGGCCTCACTCGTCTCCTTCTTGCATTGTCAGTCAGTTTTTGAGGACAGTTGTGCTTTCTTGAACATTGAATTAGGGATGTTCAAATACTTGTATTTATCCCCTGACTTGTGCTCTTCAGTGTTTCTTTGTTCTTCTGGTGTAATTCTGGGAATAGGTAATCCTTTACATTGACATTTACACACACACACACACACACACACACACACACACACACACACACACACACACACACACGCACACTGTATATACATAGCAGAGGGCAGGAGCAACTAGGGGTTGCTGCTTGTTAAGTGTCTTGCTCAGAATCCTTGCTCAAGGATACACTGGTGTATGTGTTGCAGTGGGAATCAAACCTGTGTCTTTCACACCAAAGGCATATGTTGTTTTGTTTGCAGATTGAGACTCTCTCCGGGACTCTGGGGCCGTTCTGTGGCCACACGCCTCCCCCATCTCCCTTCCTCACCCACTCAAACCATGTCCAAATCCACTTCATCTCGGATGGCTTTGGCACAAACAAAGGCTTCTCTCTCCACTTCAAAACCAGAGGTACTGAGCTTCCTCACCTTTGACAAAATGGGAAAAGTTTATGGAAGATGTTTTATGGAAAATGATCATAATAGTTCTTTTCACATATTAATTGCAGACAAGGTCTGTCCAGCAGTGGTAACCCCACACTCCACTGTGACTCCTCAGCAACCAGAATATTCTCAGGGTGAAACAGTGACAGTAACTTGTGATCTTGGCTATGTTATGAATTCTGTGAGTATACGGACAACCAGAACCTTTAATAGCTTTACATTTGATGTATTAAAGCCACTGTTCAGCTAATTAAGTTGTCCTTTTGCATAGTAGCAAGGCACTCAGACTCTGTCATCAGAGTATGTGACAACCTGCCGGGGTACAGGCATATGGACTCCCACTTACATGTGTGAACGTGAGTCTGACTGCAACTAATTCTCTTTCTGAAAATTTCTTGAGCTGTCTTGAATATTTTAATTTTGTTTTACTTTTTACCATATTCTTGCATGTAGCTGTGGATTGCGGTTTTCCTGGTATCCCAGAAGATGGTATCCTTCAGTTGGTTGGCTCAGCACACACTCAGTATAAAGACCAGATCCAGTTTAACTGCAGTTCAAAGTACTACACACTGGAAGGAGATGGTGATTACTAAATGATTGTACACATCCCTTTTTTGTTTCCTTTCCTAGAGTTTTCTTGTTTTATTATTGTTTCACCAATATGCTTTCTTCAATCTTTCAGACACATTCACTTGCAGTGCCAGTGGTGAGTGGGTATCAGATGGTGGCAAGACAGAGCTACCCAAATGCACTGAAGGTACGCCTTTAAATTTGTTTTTCATATTATCTCATATTAGCCATCCTTTGAATCTATAGAAGACTCTTTGTGTATTTCAGTGTGTGGGAAGCCTGAAAAACACCCTGCAAGTACAGGCAGAATATTGGGAGGTAAGAATGCAAAGCTGGG